CCCTAAGTAAACAACCAGTTTATGATCTAATCACTTAATCACTACCCGTGCTAAACTTCTACCTAAGACTCACCTAGGTACGAGGCCCTCCTCAAATCCCTTCAATCACTTACAGTGAAAAACTAACAGAAATAATAAGTTTAAAACACTTCAATCATTTAATGCTTAAAAGCTTATGAATGATACACAATTAACAACCCAAATAACAACACAAGTATTCAATCAATACTAGAGTGTTTGACAATTAAAAGACTTAGACTTTTTAAAACAGAAAGAAAGCATTCTTCTTCAAAAATTTCAGTGGTTTGAATAAGGAAGCAAGCCCTTATATATGTGAAGTTGTGGGCTTGATCTTAAAAACAAATATTCAATTCTTTTGAATATTTCCTTAAAAATAGGTCAAGATAAAATCCATTCATTTTGAAAAATATTCCTCCATATTTTTCACTGCGAGTCACAAATCTTGAATTATGGAGCGTTGGAAATCAGGAAACAGAAAAACATAAACTGATGTTGGCTGAGTTCAGTTCATGAGGAAGATGTCAAGACATCTGCTTTGACATCATTCAAAACAGTTTGCTATAAATGTCAAGACATTTAGCAAAACATTATTAAGTCATTGTTTTACCAAAATTGCTGCCAACAAACACTTACATTTTCTTTCTATTTCCTCCATTTCTGGGGTAGGTTGATTCAAATATATCATGTTGATCTCAATATTTTGACCTTCGGTAGTCTCAATCTTTCCATAGGCAGATTTTGATTCCTTAGCAATCTTCATCTCTTCGAATTTCAGTCTAAGGCCTTCAGTAGCCTTAGCATTTTCAACTTCTGGGGCTGCGTTATCAGCAACGTTGCCCTTTGTAGCCTGATCCTGTGGAACTACAGCAATCTTTGGAACATAGTCCTCATCAATTCCATCGAAAGAGTCTTCAGACTTGAAGCCTTTAGTAGCCTCACTTTGTTCCACCTTCACTTGTTGGCTAGAATTTGCATCAGATACTTCCACCATGTTGATGTATAATGGCTCAGCATAATTGGTTTCAGCCACATTGAGGGGGTCAGTGCCTATCTTCATCTGACTTTTTGCTTTCTCTCCAAACTTGAGCCTTCTATCCTTGATGGCATTCTGGATCAGATCCCTGAAAAGAAAGCATTGTGAGATTTTATAGCCTAAGAAGTTATGATATTTACAGAAACCCCTTTTATTCTGTTGTTCTAGTGGAGGAATCTTAGCATTTGGGGGCACTATCATCTGGCCATCTTTCACTAATATTTCAAATATCTCATCACATTTCGTTACATCTAATGTGTAAGTTTTCTTAGTATATTTGTCATTTTTTCTGTTTCGATGGGGTCCTTGCCATTCGATGGGGAAAGAACTTTACAAGAGTATGGGGGTGCTTGTTTCAGTTCTGCCAAATCTATTTGAAGCTCTTCGAAACCAAAAGGATCATTTAGAATTTCTTGTTCCTCTTCTTCGGCTTCGATATAAACAGCCATCTCTTTCTTATAATTTTTATTTGCCCTAATCTTTTCAGCTTTTAAACGTTCAACTTGTCGAACCCTATCTGCTAAATGGGCCATGTCTCTTAGATATTGGGTATATAATTTATTTCAAATGGAATAGTATAAACCTCCGACGGCCATTTCGACTAGTTCATGTTCAAGAACCACTATAAAGCATCTAGACTTCAGTAAATGAAATCTATTCAGATAATCATCTATTGGTTCAGTGAATTTCCTCTTGATATTGGCCAATTCTTTGAGACTTATCTTAGATTGCCCCATGTAGAATTGTTCGTGGAATAATCTTTCCAAGTGTTGCCAAGCATTTATAGAACCTGGCGAAATAGTAGTAAACCAAGTGAAAGCATTTTTTTGCTAACGAACTTGGAAAGTATTTTATTCTCAGGTTCTCACTATTTTCCAAATCCCATACTTCAGTCAAATACCTGGCTATGTGCTCCACAGTGGATTCATTAGTATCTCCTGAAAATTTTGTAAACTTAGGGACTTTGCAACCTCTTGGTAATTCTGTTTGTAATATATATTCAGATAAATGGGGTGAATAATTTGGTCTCCTAAGTCCGGTATTTAGACCATTTTGCGCCATGGTTCTCTCGATCATGATGGTCAAGTTATTTTCCATTTTATCTTGTCTAACTCTATGGACCACTTCATCTGCATTTTGATCCCTATTAACCAACATTACCCTCCTAGGTTGTTCCTCTTGGATATCATTTCGAATCCTTTGTTGCTCTACCCTTGGTTCTATGATTCTTTCGACAACCTCCTGTCTAGGTAATCGCACTTGGTTAATGGTTGGTTCTTCATCCTGAACAATTGGGGCCTAATTTTGCCTACGTCGAACAGGCGCTTCAGGGGCACCAAAGAAATCTGCTATGCGTGCCATATGCACTGACATTTACTGATAGGTGTGTGTATTTTCTTGATTGGTTCTATTAATGTTTTGGATCAAAGGAGTGAAAATGGTACTCATCTCTCTAGCCAGAACTCCTACCATATCATGGTTACTATCATCTATTTATTGTGTGAATGTTGCATGATTGCTCGTTATCAGTATAGGAATTTGGATAAAATACCTTTGATTATGGGTATTTAGACCCATGTTATTCATCCCAGAACCAGACCCTTGTACCGGGGATTGGGTTGTTGTTGTACTATTATGAAGTCCTGCCATGAAAGAAGTTGGCATTTCATATGGTGGTGGTGGCCTAAATGTTTCAAATACTGGAGGCCTAGGGGTTGAAAATTGGGCTTGGTTCCCTACATGTGTAAAAACCGAACCAGTTTGGGCATTCGAAGGAATTCCCGCTGCATTCAAAGAAAAAGTCATGGTTGTTGAATTATTTGTGGCCACCGAACCTATAGATATAGGTATGGCCTATGTGTGAGGGATTGTGGTTGATGTATCCATCAAACTTGCAACAACCGTACCTGATCCCCGTGGGGGATTGTGGTATGGCCTATGTGTGAGGGATTGTGGTATGGCCTATGTTAACCATCTTTCTTGTATATTTTATTTTGGGTTTTGGTTGGTTACTGTTGGCTATTTTACCATTTCTAAGGTTTATATAACAATAACGACAGACAGACTCAAAAGATGAACGACGAAAGATAGACGCTCACAGAAAAATACCAAGTTTTCAAAAACTTCGACACTGTCCCACTGGGCGTGCCAATTTGTTTACGCGTGAATTTGGTAAACAGCCACTAGTCCTCTAAACTAAATACTTTTTAACTTACAGGATCGACTAGATTGATCCTAGGACATGTGTCTAAATTTCTAAGATTAAACTTGTAATGGGATTCATGTTTAACATTATTTTGTTGATAACAATATAAAGATTTAGAATTATAATTTAAAGTAAGTTCGAATAAAAGAGTTTCGAATGAGTAATGCAAAGGTTTCTATTGGAAACGTAAAGAAACGTAAAGGAAATGCAGAATAAATGTAAATGACTTGAAAAAGTAAAAGTTTTGACTAAAAAGTAAAGGAAATACTGGAAATGTTAAAAGGGGTTGATATTGATAAAGTAAAATGATTTGAAAAGAACAATAATGGTGTTTATACGTACATTTTCTGCAACTCATTTCTGTAACACATGGTACTTCGAGTATATTGAGTAATTTGTACAAAATGAACACCTTTGATCCTAACATTAAGATCCCTATTTATACTAATTTGACCCTAACGGTCTTTCTATAATAGAGTGCCACGTTCGAAGATTGCATGTCCTTCGAACCCATCAGACTTCCACGCATCTTCTATGACTCAAACATTCGATTTCAAATTCAAATTCCTCTCTTCTGTTGGCACCAAGTTTTCGACGTATATATCCAAAAACTTTTGATTTCAAAATATACTTGACGAATATTTATTATATTTGTTTTGTCTGTCCATCGAACCATTTCAAATGCTTGGGCTTTTACTCAATTCAATCCAAATGAAGCCCAAACACCAAAACAATATTAATGCGTTCAAACAACTGCTGTAATTGAAATTTCAAGCCAACGCGCAAAAACGCCATTGGTAACCGCATCTAGGGTTTCATGAAATCCAAATAGGGATTGCATATGTTTTCTTCATCGAATATAATTCTTGTCGTAAAGAGTTGGAAGAGAATTCAAAATTTTATTGTTACCATCATATTCGCGGTGATTGCTAGTGAACAACCTACAATTCCAAAAATACGATCTCTGACATGTGATTCTTGAAAACACAAAGCATCTAATCAGAACTCTAGATACCAATTTATTAGTGTGTGAGACATTTTTAGAGGGAAGAAATAGAGAATAAAGAAATAAAGATTGTATTATGAATTGAATTGTTTCAAATAATAATACAAATTATGACTATTTATATACACCTAACTTATACACTAAATAGACTAACAAACCCTAATTAAGCTTAAATTTAGGTTACATAACTTGAATTAGGTCTAATATCTCAACTATAAGAGAATTACTTCATGAAAATATACATAAATCCGTATTCTTAGAAACAACCAATAAGAAGAAAGGAAAATTTAAATTTATTTAAAATTCAATTTATTTTTTAATTGAGATCATAAAAGTGATTGTGATAAGAAATGAGAAAGAAAATTTATTTTAATTTATAATTAATAAAAAAATTATGATTGATGATTTTTAAATTAAATTGTTATGTCTTTGTTCACGTAAGTATTCTCTTACTAGTAATTAATAATTTATTTTAGAATAATATGAGAAGTAGTAATAATGTGAAGTAGCATAATTAGTAGTATATGCAGGCATCTTAGGTATCGATTCTCAGCATCTTTTGTGAGATCCTATGTTCGGTCCCCACTTATGATGTTGCTCTCACTCATTTTCCTCGTCTCCATAAATAATTTCTTGTTTCACCGCTCTCACTTACTCACACCCCTCCTATCTCATCATCCCTTCATCTCCATCAACAATCATAGTGAAGAATAAACAACCTCACAGAAAAGGAGATGAACGTCTTAGAAGATTCTCCCCTAGAAGCTCTAGCTTTTAACTACCTGAGCTTTGATTTCTTCAACAATCTATGGACATGGCTCGCCGTTATCTTCTGGAGGATCCGAACACCAAACCCCGAATTACTACCTCCTTCTAACCACGACACTCCATCCAACAAAACCGACAAGGTTCCGGAGCTGTTGGAGCCTTGTCATGATAATCATAATGTTCTGGCTCGTGTTCACAGTAACGGCGTAGTTAACGACGTTGACGGGGTGACAAAGGGAAAGATGAAGGTTACCTCGTACTATTACGAGGATGATGTCATTAACACAAAATGCGACGAGACGTTAACCTTAACGGTGGAATTATGGGAAGAGAGAGAAAAAAGATTGGAGTGGTGGGAGAAGTTGTTGAAGACGAGAACGGGAGAAAGTGAGAATGGATGGTACACGTGTCAGGATTTAACGGCGCTTAACGGCAACGTTGTTAGGTTTTGGGAAGAATCTAATAACAGCTTCAGCTATGTTCCTCCTCTATAGTAATCACTAATCAGATAGATTATATTCAGATGAACTCATAGAGTAATAAACTATCATGAGAAATGTATATATCTTATTGTGGTACCATTATCTTGTTAATTTATTACAAAATGTATATATGGATTGGTTATTTCAATCCAATTCTTCATTAATGCTCTTTATATTTCTTTTTATCATGAAGGTATTGGTGGAGTCACTTTTTTATTTTTTTCATATAGATAAAATTATTAAAATGTCCACCTTAACTTTATGAACTACAAAATTAATCATTAAACCCTAAATTTTATTATTTTCTTTCCCTACAATACAAACAACTTCTTTCAATTTCTTTTTCTTAGTGTTGCGACTTTCTTTCTCTCGGTGATGGGTCTTCTTACTCTTTCCCTCTAAATTGTTGCTTCAATTGCATACCCTATGAACCGCAGCTTTTTCTCACTATTCCTATTGGTGCCGTCCACCACCACACATGTCTCATGTACTCTCACAATTCCTATTGGTGCCGTCCACCACCACACATGTCTCATGTACTGCGATAAAATGAGAACGATAAAGTTTCATCATCCATTACCGCCATAAGTCTCGGTTGCCAGTATTCTTCACACAAATATTATTGGAAATCCACTAAAGTCGATGATGAATTTCTATCACAATATCAATTTAATTATGAGACAAACAAAGAAAAGAAGACAAGACAAATAATTTCTGCAGAGTTTCTCTCTGCTCACAAACTGTGAAGACTTTGTTATTCACTTACAACTGCAAATTCTGTGAATACAACTTGCTTGACTTGCTTACAAAAATAGGGGTTACTCCCTCTATTTATAACTGAGGTTACACCCAAAACCCAAAATATCTTTTTGTTACTAAATCAAATCTAATTTATTCTAAACTTAAATCAAATCTATTTAAATCTAAAACAAATCAAATTTTTTCGACACATAGTTTCGACACACTGAATTACAATTTAACACACCACCTAATTCATTGTGTCTAAACTATCTATGTTCATCATGACTCTTAGTCTTCTGAATACTTCGACTTGCACTCTCTTCGTCATGATGTCTGCAATCTGATTCTCTGTTCTGTAGTGTTCCAAATTCATCTTCCCATCTGCTACCTGCTCTCGAAGATAATGGAACCTCATTTCGATGTGCTTACTTCGACCGTGTGTTATTGGGTTCTTTTCCAGATTAATAGCTGACATGCTGTCGATCTTCATGGTAATTGCTCCATGATCTTTCCCTGTTATCTCTTCGACCAAGTTCACCATCCAAGTTGCTTGACATGCACAAAGAGAAGCAGCTATGTATTCTTCTTCGCATGATGATAATGCCACTACTGGTTCCTTTCTTGAATTCCAAGCAACTGGTGCACCACCTAGCATAAACACACATCCTGTTGTTGACTTTCGATCTTCAGTATCACTACACCAACTCGAATCAGTGTATCCCACTAACTTGCATTCTTTTCCTTTATCAGCTGTAGGAAACAAAATGCCATAATCGAAAGTTCCTTTGAGATACCTCAGTATCCTTTTTACTACTGCTAGATGTGATACCTTTGACTTATGCATAAATCTACTTACCATACCTACAATGTATGGTAAGTCAGGCCTTGTATGACAAAGATATCTTAATGATCCAATAAGTCTTCTGTATTGGGTTGGATCAACATCGTCTTCATCTGCATCTTTCGACAGTTGCAGTCTTGGTTCTGCAGGTGTCGAAGTTGAGTTGCATTCTTCCATCTCAAACCTCTTGAGAATTTCTCCTGCATATCTTCTTTGATGCATCATCAAACCTCTACTGCTCTTGTAGAATTCAATTCCAAGGAAATATGAAATCTCACCCAAATCAAACATTTCGAATTCCTTGCTGAGATCACCTTTGAAGTCTTCGATCTCACTTTTACAGCTACCTGTTATCAACAAATCATCTACATAGAGACATAGTATAATAAATTCACTATTGCTTCTTCTTACATATACTCCATGTTCACTTGTGCACTTTACAAATTCCTTCTCCCTTAGGAAACTATCAATTTTCTTATTCCAAGCTCTTGGAGCTTGTTTCAATCCATACAGGGCTTTATGCAGCCTATACACCTTTCTTTCTTCGTCATGTTTCACAAACCCAACTGGTTGTTTAACATAAACTTCTTCTTCTAAGAGTCCATTTAGGAATGCACACTTCACGTTCATCTGACATATGTGCCAATTATTTATTTCTGCTAGACCAACAACCAGCCTGATTGTTTCGATCCTAGCAACAGGTACAAAAACTTCATCAAAGTCTATTCCTTCTTTCTGTAGAAATCCTTACGCCATAAGTCTTGCTTTGTGTCGAGTTACTTCACCTTTCGAATTCGTTTTCACTTTGTATACTCACTTGACATCAATTGCCTTTTTGCCTTGAGGCAATTCGACAAGTGACCAAGTATTGTTGTCTTCGATAAACTTTACTTCTTCGTTCATTGCTTTCACCCACTTCGAATCCTTTAATGCTTCAGCTGCATTAACAGGTTCGACATCTGCATAGAAATCATAATGTACCAGCTCACCTTCATTATCTGTTACATCATCTGATGTAATCACACAATCTTGCAATCTTGCAGGCATGCATATTGTTTATTGAGTCCTGCTTGTACTTGGTATATCTGTTGGTTCCTCTTGTCGAACTTCTCTTTCGACTTGAGTTTTTGGCTCTTCAAGAAGGATTCCCACTGAATCTTTTTTGACATTATCAGTCCAATCCCATTCTTTAAACTCATCTATGATCACATCCCTGCTTATCACAATCTTCTTTTTTACTGGATTGAACAACTTGTAGCCTTTTGTCGAATGATATCCAACTAGAATCATTTGACTTGACTTGTCATCAAGTTTTCTTCTCAACTGATCTGGCACATGTTTATGTGCAATAGATCCAAATACCTTCAGATGACTCAAGCTAGGCTTCACACCAGACCAACATTCTTCTGGAGTAATTCCTTCTAGCTTCTTTGTAGGACATCTGTTCAAAATGTATGTTGCAGTCGAAACAGCTTCACCCTAAAACTCTTTAGGTAAATTCTTGTCTTTCAACATACTTCTCACCATATTCATGATGGTTCGATTCTTCCTTTCTGCAATTCCATTTTGTTATGGAGTATAGGGCGGCACCACCTCATGCACAATCCCTTCCTTCTCACATAGCCTGTCGAAGTCTTTCGACACATATTCTCCACCACCATCAGTTCTCAAAAATTCGAGCTTCCGACCACTCTGTCTTTCGATCATAGACTTAAACTTGGAAAATACTTTGATCACTTCACTTTTCTTCTTGATCAGATAAGTCCACAGCTTTCGACTGAAATCATCTATAAATGTAACAAAGTATTTGTTGCCTCCCATCGAATCCACCTGGATTGGTCCACATACATCAAAGTATATGACTTCAAGACTAGCCTTCGACCTGCTTCCTGCATCTTTGCTGAAGCTATTCTTGTGTTGCTTCACCTGCACACATTCCTCACATGCCTCGTTTGGAATGTCAGTTTCTGGCAATCCTGAAATCATATTTCTTCTCTTCAAATCTCTGATGTCTCTGAAGTTGAGATGGCTTAGTCTATAATGCTATATCTATTCATCTCTGCTAGCTGCAGTCGAAAGGAACTTGTGCTCCATCACATTTAGTTCAATCTTGAAGGTTCGATTATGAGACATAGGAGCCTTCAAGATTAATCTCCCATTTGCATCAACGACTCTCATCATCTTATCTTCGATTGACACTTTATAATTCTTTTCGACCAACTGCCCTATACTGAGCAAATTTCTCTTCATGCCTGGTATGTACAACACATTGGAAATTACTGACCTCTTTCCATCTTTCCTCATAATCATAACATCACCAATACCTTCAGCTGCTAGGGTATTGTCATTTGCAAATTTTACCATATTTTTCACTGAGGGCTTTATATTGACAAACCGGTATTTCCTTCCAGACATATGTGATGAACATCCTGAATCCAAGTACCATTGGTCCTTGAATCTATCTTCATATCTTGTTGTGACCATCAGCATCATCTCTTCTTCTTCATGTTTTGCAATCTTTGCATCACTTTCTTGATTCTTTCATTTTTCTAGACAATCACTCGTATAGTGTCCATACTTCTGACAATTGTAACATTGAATGTGACTCTTATCAGGTTTTCGACCACCACCTCTTCCTCTATTTGCAACACCACCTCTTTGGTTGCCTTGGTATGGTCTTCTTTGATTCGACACGTCTCCTTCGATTTGGTTTCCTCTACCATTTGATTTGTTGTAGACACCTCTACCTTTGTCGAAACACTTTCCTTTGCCTTTGGTTTCTTTTGCTTAATGTGCCTGCAAGGCCACATCACTCTTCGATTTGCATGCAACTCTTTCATTCATTCTTTGTTCATGATATTCAAGCGTCCCTTGAAGCTCTTCCTTTGTCAATTTTGACAAGTCTTTCCCCTCTTCTATCGCCACCACTATGTGGTCGAACTTAGGAGCTAAAGATCTCAAGATCTTCGAAACAATAGCTCTTGTTGTTAACGTTTCTCCATATATCTTGATTTGATTTACTAGTTTTGTAACTCTAGTGAAGAAATCAGATATGCTTTCACTGTCTTCCATCTGAAGTAGTTCATACGTCCTTTTGTGAGTTTGTAACCTCACTTCTTTCACCTTCTCAACGCCTCCAAAAGACTTCTCAAGGATTTCCCAAGCTTCTTCTGCAGATTTTGAATCACTAACCTTTTCGAAATTGTCTGGGCTGACACATTGATGAATTATAAATAATGCTTTATAACTCAGCTTCTCAGATTCTGTATATTTCTTCTTTTCTTCTTCTGAAGCATTTTCTCCAAGCGCTTCGACTCCATATTTTATAAGGTCCCAAAGACCTTGACACCTGAATAATACTTTCATCTGTTTGCACCAATTCTCATAGTTGTCAACTTCCATAATTGGTAGGGTTGCTGGATAGTTTGCA